TCTTGCGAGCCGGTGTCGTCGACTACGGCGTCAAGCTGCGCGCCGGCCGTTATGCCACACCCATGCATGTCCGTGCTGATTGTTGATCGACGCGCGTGCGCTCGTCAACTTGTGGAATCTTCGGAGTTACCATTATAGGCATGTATTGACGCACTCGTCTATGTGTATAGGTACGTTTAGCACCGGACCGCGGCGCGCGTTCCAAGAAATGGGCGACTTTCGTGCGACAAATGCAGATGCCTTCGTCCCACCGGCTTATACATGTGGATTACTCAGTCGACACCATGAGCCACAGCTCTGATAAAAAAGAGTCTTAAGAATTCAAGTCCTGCTAGGATACGTTTTCGATTATTCATCATCAGTCCTGCACAGTAATATAAAGAGAAGGGGAGAAGGTTGAGGGGCGTTCAGAGGTCAGGGGTCAGAGTCTAGTTCTCTCATGGGTTTAGGGAGAGGGAGGGGAAGATGTCTGGCCATTAGCTGTCCCTGTTTCCTAGCTGTAACTCAATGTTGCAGTTTTTACTTCACCGAGCTGCGTTATCAGAGTTAACACGAACTGAGAACGGGACCCCACTCCCCTGCAATGGCGAAGACCGAACAGCATAAGTTCACAAACCGCCGAACTCTGAGCTGGTCTCATTTGCCACCTCCTGTTAGACGGCAACGTTGGATGTAGGACGACCACGGCAGCAGCAATGTGTTCGTCGAGCGAGCGGCGAATAATGAAAGTTGCTTCAGTCCTCTTTGTCGGAGGACTCGACGACTCATGCTTCCGATGTCGCAGCGAACGCCTCATTCAAGGTCGGCCAAGGCCAGTAACTAGCATACTCCATGTGAGCTTGAACTAGCCTTTGTCAGATTCGCTTTCTCGACTCATTCTTCCACACAGTCAATATTCTGACGTGATCAAACTTTGCCGATGGCATCACTATGAGGACGTATTGTTGGCTGGCAGGCCGTAATCGTCAGCCTCAGTTACCATCCTGGAACGGTCTGGTGTGGTCTTAAGCAACACTTTCTTGGTATAGTCAAGCAAATCGAACCACCTCAGTCGTCTGTTATGGACGGCCTGAAATATGCTCGCGACGTTGACACGTCGAGTAAAAGCTATCTCATCGGAGACGTTCTCACCTGGCTGGATACTGCGCATGGCCCTTCTACAAGTCATCGAGAGTGTTTGTGGACTGTCACGCTATCTCAGTTGATATCCCAAGATGTCCCCACTCACTCAGTTAGTCCTGTTCTACATTGGAATTAGTGCGTTTATTTTCTGAGCTTTCGGATTTATGCAGGAGGCCCAACGTCAGGGGATGAACTCTTATACGAGTTCAAGGGCGCAGAAAGAATAAACGATTCCCGTGCCTGACCAGTCTCCTTCCTTATTTGCATGTACACTCGGACATTCAGCTCCATCCCTATCTTCAAATTTTAAGCCGCGCACATATAAAACGAACCAAAGATGTGGGTTTTCAACGACCGCTTGCGTGCAGGGTATTTTGCAGTGTTTATGTGAGGCCAGCTGAGTCAGTCATGATACCATCTGTACTAAGTGAAAATTGGCAAGTAGATAGCCGAAGTGGCATTATTACGTCCCCCAAAACAACCTTTGTAAGGAGAGCGACCACACTCCACATCACTGAATGAAGACTGATAAGAGGAATTGACTACTGTTGAGGCAGTTTTCGTTTTATAAACTAGGTCAGTTCTGATAGTCAGTATTTGACATTGCACCTGCAGGTATTCATATTTGAGTCCTTTAGTTGATTGGGAAACTTTGTTGGGTGCGGTTTGTAGACTGCGTAAGACGACTGAGGCTTTGCCTTGTCTTGTTCTCTAAAGGTAAAAACTTGTCTTAAGTCTGTTATAACTTTGTTGAGTTTTGACAAGAAAAAAAAACAACTATGGCGTGTATGTAATTTTTCCGGCTAACCGCGAATAAATTTGCATAGCAAAGCACTCGATCGTTATATCTGCCATTTGCAATTAAAGTTATCGTTCTGTGTTAACATGGACGGAAAAGCCTCATATTCGTTTGCGCATCGTCCACCTCACACCTTCCTTTCTGATTAACCGTAATCGAATGACGAGGTAAAGTCATTACGATTGTGAGTGCTGAAGTCCGGCCAGAGTCCGTCCTCTCAACATTCCTCCTTATCCATACAATAAAAGTGACCTTGACCAGCGGCCTCCATAGCTAGTTATGGGGCGTCCGGGTAGGCAAAGACCTTTTCTCATCGGACCACCATTATCACTGTGCGCGGGATTTCCTTTGAATAAGCTATTAAGTCCTTGTCTGTGTGGCCGTTTTCCGTAAATCCTGTTTGAATTTGTATGCTGATAAAACTGACGTGCTACTCGGCAACATCATACTGCAAGAAGCGTCACAATTGAATATAAAGAGACTCGGGAGACGGTCGACGTTTTTATCCACCTCGATTCGTCCGTGATGCCAACGGAGGAACAAGCAGACAGTATACTCTGTCAGCTTCGGAAGCGCCTTTAGTAACTTCGTACGATCTAACAAAGGATAAACATCAACTTGCGCGAAGATTGGTTCAAAGCTATCTAAGGTTGCGAACCTGGTATTTTCGCTCTCCTGACTATGACATATAATTACTGAGGTCTTCTACGTATATCATGACTTCTGTATTCTCGACTGGAAAGAGTAACTGGCAGTTTGCGACACCTGGGTGTCGAGGGGAATCAGTTATCGTGGTCTAGTCGAGGGCGAACTTTTCCACAATTTCTTCTGTCTCTGATACCGTGTGTTGTTTTCGCCATTGGCTCGCGCGCTGTTGGGTGTTTGACGGTAATGCCAACTGAAAAAAAACTTCCCAAGAGTTACATGCGTGGCACCTGTTCTCGATCCCATGGACTCTGATGCGGTCCAAATCAGTGCTGAGGTTAGGAAATGCAAGCAGCATTGGATGCGGCCTTCCCCATTTTAGTTTGCCACGCAGATGACCAAGCCTGCGCGTAGGCACTAAGCCACCGAAGGACTGGCGACTCGGTGACTAACTGAGCTCTGACGGGGCAGACTGCATGACAGACTGTCAGTTGCTGTCTGTTGGACATGTGAGGTCAGACTGTGGCCGATATTTGTTATGCCACTCCTAGGCTTTCCTGCCTGTGTCACTGTGTGTCTGGTTTGCCGAAGTCGGGCTGCTCATCCCGTTACTGGTTTCCTTCCTCACCTGAATGAGTACCTGCAGCTGGCATTGCTATTCTTAGACTTTGCGCCAGTTCCCCCTGCTGCTGCCGCTATCGCCAACAATCTACCTACACATCTCTGCTTTGCCCACTGGTACTGTCAGAAGATTTTTCAGACTGTTCGCAAACGACTTTCAGAGGTCGCGCTTAGAAATCTGAATAAAATCCAGGTCCTGCTTTCGTGAAAGTAATTGACAACTAAAGGTACATAACCACATCTTACCCTCGCATGGATTCATATGTGCGTCCATTCTGTGGTCGTATCCGCGGAGGATGATTGCCGTGTATTTTTTTTCTCATTCTCGTCCCTTCCATCAAACCAGGCGTTATTATTCCCTAGAATAGTCGACCTATTTGAGTTCAGTTGGTAACTCACACTGGGAATGGCTCAGTGAGATCTTAGTTCGTCTTTTTTCATTAGAGTGAAAGTTTGTGTAGACCAAAGTACTCCCTGTCTCTGACTCCGTTGCCACAGAGGAGAATTATCTATAAACTGGCAGTCCGTAGTTACACCGTTCTCTCTATCTCTCTCTCACTAATAAACCCAATATCCTCCTTTCTCTATAGAAGTCTCCAACCTTACTGATGTCCTCACGCCCAGTACACCCACCACTTCCATCTGCTCTACTGTGTCCTCCAACGCGACCACTTTTGTGCCGACTGCCAACAGTTCGAGCACAAGTAGTGTTTCCTTCCTGGGCAGCGGTATGGTGTCTGGCATCCGTGCAGCTTACGTGGCAGTTGGCGGACTTGCTCGTCCCAGGGAACGTCGTCGTTCTGTCAGTACTCCAGGTGGCGGAGACAGTCTCGTATCCGTCGGAGCCGGCGCTGTGTCCTCTTCTTCGGCTGCTGCCACTGGCAGCAAAAGAAAGGCCGTCAGTGAAAACACCAGTACTTTACAGTTTCTGCGGTGCAGCGCACCACTTACGCTCAAGTCGACGACGGAGCGCAGCCAGTCGTCAGCGTCATCTTCGGTGCCTGTCGCCGCCGCGTCGGCGGAGGAGGAATCCTCGTCTGCGGCAGGTGCGGACTCAGTTGCTGCCGGCCGACTTCGATTAACAACCAAACTGGTACCCAACGCAGAATGCATACACCTTGTTGTCACCAGCCTGGCTTCCTTGCTGGATATTGCTTCTCGGACTCGGCAGACGGTGTGCCCTCCACATTACCATCATTGGCATCATCCCTCCTGCGCCCACCGTCTTTGCATTGATGGCCCACTAAAGGGGATGTCTAACACAGATGGCTTGGAGGTTGTGAACGTAAGTATCCCTGTTCCGGATTTCGTAGAAATACGCTTCATTGTACACTTACACGGATGGGGTTTTAATTTCGGTTCTGACCCTAAAAAGTCATGTCCCGGAGATTTAACTCCAAGTTCTGCACTGATTAATTTCCGAAATTATTCACCTGAATATATATATATATATGTCGAAGTCGAATACGTTCTTTGGGAAAGGAAGTTTATTGTAAGTTTTCGACGCCGATTCCCCGGGTCGTCGTCAGACACAGACACAAAGCAAATGCGTCAACACAGTTAACATCTTAAGTGCAACTAAAAATCGACAATTGCTTGGCGCTCGTGCCAGTATATGCATATATATTGCTAATAGAAGCGAAGGTTCGATTCCCCGGACATAAATGAGAAGAGGCGATCTCGGGAACCACGGTTGTATTGCCCTGACGTTTCAAAAACAGACAAGCTTTCATCGTCGGAGGTGAGTATCGTACGGCGTCACAGTATTTATAGGAGGGAGGGATAGATAACAGTCATGTTAACACGGTGTTATTTATACGGGGAGTGGTTGATCGGCTTTGGCACTAATTGCCTGCATACGCACCGGGACAGAGTGGGAGGGGGGGTGACTGTTGTCAACCTGCCTGTCTTTTGTCGGGGGGTGGCATTTGAAGGTTGGTGGCCATCGCCCGCATTCACGTTGACCATAGTTGCCGTTCTGAGTTGTTAGTCTTGATTGCATCCATCTGACTGCGTTTCTCCCGTCTGCTGGGGTGGTGGTCGTGGCAGCAGTGTTGATGACTGCGCTGTCGTCGGACCCGACTTGCGGTGTGGCGACCTGTAGATCCGTCGTAGATTCTCCCGTGTTTGAATTCACGTCTGGCCTAACTTTGCTCTTGCTCCTTCATTCGTTGGGCTGCGTCCGCAGCTCTTGGTAGGCTGCCGGAAGGACGACACAATGGTTTATTGCGGTATCTCCGTGTGCCAGGCCTCGATTGTTTCCCTGACCACGCGGTCATTGCCCCGACTCAGAATTTTGGCGTTCTGGAAGGCGAAAGTGTGCCCATAGTCCTCGCAGTGTTCCGCCACCAGAGACAAGGGGTCCATTCGTCTCATTGCCCGCATGTGTTCGTTCATACGGGCTTCTAACCGTTTGCCTGCCTCTCCGGCGTAGTTAGCTTCACAAGAGTTACACTGGACCTGGTAGATGATATTTGTTGTCTCACCATGTGGCATGGGGGCCTTCGGTCTCATAACTAAATGTCAGATGGTTGAGTCTGGTCGATGAGCGATTCCGATCCCCAAGGGTCTTAGGAGGCGGGAAACTGCCTCTGAGGCGCTGTCGATGCATGGCAGTGCACACCGGACTTTTCGTTGTTCTGTTACCCGATTTTGGTCTAGACTGCCAGCTGCCCTCGATACAGTTACGGGGGTATCCGTCGGCCATGAAAAGGCGCTGAAGGTAGCGGTGTTCTGTCCTGTCATTCGGTTCGCTGCAGGGTGTTTCTGCTCTACTGCAGAGAGTTCGCACACAGCTGCGTTTGTGACATAACGGGTGTTTACTGTGGTAGCTTAGGATTTGGCGTATGTCGATAGCCTTCCTATACACCTTCGTTTTTATGTGCCTGTTGGGTTTCGATGGGCAAGAACGTCCAGGAACGGCATCTGGTTGTTGCCTTCCGCCTCAATTGGGAATTGGATGTCCGGGAGAACGGGATTCAGGATATTGCGACATTCCTCGATCATTTTTCGCTTGATGATGATGGTGTCGCCGAGTTCAAAACTATGGCCTGTGAGTTGTGAAAACCAGGCTCTCTAGTTTTTGCAGAACTGCCTCAGTGATGAAGCTGGAGAGAGGCCGTCCCAGCGGCGTCCCCTTAATCTGCTCGTACATGGTCCCCTCGAAGGTGAAGTAAGTCTTCAGGCAGAATTTCAAGAGTTGGACTTGATGTCTCCGCTTCACCGACTCGCCCCTCGTCATACTGTCCCTCGAGCGATTCACTAACCGCTTCGATGACCAGGTCCTGCGGTTTTGAAGTGAAGGGGGAGGTGTCGTCAAATGACACCGTGACCTCGTCTGCAATGAGTCACGTTCCCCTGAACCGTTCCATAAGCTGAATAGCTGGACGGACCGCTGTGGTCGCACCCGAGGTTAGAAACCTCAGGTGTCGGAACAGCCATTTAGCCAGATTGAATGTTGGCGCGCCTCGCAGTGCCACGATTACTCGGAGGCGGTTACATCGGCCTTGTGTACTTTGGGTAGTCCGTAGAACCTGCATCTGTTGGTTTAAAAGTCAGTCGTACCGACTGTCAGACAGCAAATCTTGAGACCCAAAGACCCAAAACCACCAACAGGGCAATCAGCAGTCGTTTATAGCATACCAAGCTGAAATTTATATGCGAGGTATTTTGGTAAAAGGTGCAAACGCTTTCTCACAAGATTGCACGAAAACCAATTTGCAATCAACCGCAACGATGAGCTGTACTTGGCCTATGACCGCGTACAACAGCTTAACCACAGATTCATTTTTTGAGAAAGCAAGGGTGATCGGTTTCACCAGTGATAGGATGACCAAGCTGACGCTCCAAAGTTTCTCGACTGCCACACTGAACCGAGCCATAGACCTGCATCCGGCCTACCAAGCGCCACGTTCGAGGCTCGGCTTGGTTAGAAGAGGGCCAGTAGGAAACGCGAACTCGCAAAAACGAAGTCCGACGCTCATGGAAAGAAGGAAGGTGGCGGTTGAAGAATTGGTGCGACCTCTGACTTGTCGAGCATATACAGTGCGTGACCTATCTCATGAAATCTGATAACGGAAACTGATGCGAGAATTTCTGGACGTCTTTAACGTTGCGCATTTTGTTCGCTCATCCACTTCCTTCAATGTCCTTTTCTTGTTCAGTAATTGTGTTTGCGTAATTGTATCAAGCAGAATATCAGTAAATTTTGGCAGAAATGGACACTGAAATATATTCGCGCAATTTCCTATGCTAATGCATGTCCTAGGCTCCGATTACGCATTTGAGCGACTTTTTAATTGAAAGGATAGTAATTTGTCCGCGACTGTTTTAATAAACAGATTTAGCTGAGCTTGAACATTTATTTTATGTCCGATGCTAACCGTAGTAATAAACTTGCAAACGCAAAGGTTATTTTAAGAAAACCAGTGGTATTATCAGCTCCTAAAAGCCAACTTGGCAGACCTGCGCGATTTGGTGCCCTAAAGTTCAGTAATAACGCCTATGGGGATTCCTTCGTTTCAATGAGCTGAAATTGTCTTGCCGTTTGGAAAATTCTACCTGATGTCACATAAATGACCACCACCGGATGGTCATTTCCAGCTTTGAGGATATGAAACACAACTTGTCGTGTAGTTCAGTTTCCGTGCATAGCTTATTCAGAAATAGAGCGAGCAAGACCTTAATAGTTTCAGCAAAATATTAGTATTTATATGGGCTCTCTGCCGTGCATTCATAATCGAAGAAAGGAGTCTAACGTCGAACAAAAACTGAAAATGGCCCCAATGTATAGAGAAAGGCATGTTTTACGTTTACGGTAGAAAAATATTAGTATTGTTTAGGAACGTGAAAGAAATGGTCAGAAGTGTCAAAGTTTTTACTTAGCCTCACTGTGCAAAAATGCAATGTGCGCAGAGATCCGTCAACGGAGTGCGGTAATAAAACACTTCTTAAAGAGGTAACTTATTAAGAAAAGTTTTCTTATTAATCGAAGGCATATTCGTTGCTGACTTTCGTCGTGGACAGACATTTTTCTTGAAAATAAAGTTCGATGTTTGAATGAGTCTTCATGTGTGACCCAAACGATCATCTTCTTGAAAAAGAGCGTCCGAACGCTCACTAATTTGGTAATCCCTTCCAGAATAATTTTATTTTAATGTTCTCAACATACAGGTAATTCAGAGTCTCCCTTTATGGACGATCTGGTGAAAACACCGAAAATCATGAAGTATTCAGCAATATTTCGAGACCGATCTGAAACTCAGCGTAATCCAAAACGAAGGAAAAGTGTAAATTAATTTAACGGAAGAACTGTCCTCTCTATAAACAAAATTGTACGTTTACGGTCACGCCTGTCAGTTCTATTTAAATTTACTAGGCACCGACCGGCCTCATGGCATGTCACCTTGTGAAAACTTTTGTGCCTATGACGTCCCCATAGGTGAAATCAAGCAAAATCCAGCTTCTCTTGTTTAGCTCCATCTCATTTACTTCAAACGAGTGAAGGATAACACGAATCCCTGGAAAACTGTTTTGGAATTTACACTCAGAATGTAGGCAGTTGACAAACCTTATATGAAATCACACTAATTATTAAACGATATTTAGATGTGAACTCCACTGAAACACTATTATTAGACGTTATTTTATTTCTAATTTCATATTTACTACGTTTTTGGAATGATAATACATTCTGTACATCCAAAAACGAAGTTTACTAAATTAAAGCCATTTCTTCCGTTTTCGGGATATTACGCTTTTCTAAAATAAATCGGCATTTCTAAACAACGCAACACTGTCTTTGATGTTTTTTATCCTTTAAACCATGAGCTTACTTAACGTAGACTTTGGACTCATGAAATGGTGTCGGTTTGCGAGTGATTGGCAGTCATTCGTAAATTTCGACATATTTCATGAGTTGGGTAACGCGCTGTACATTTGAGATGGTACCAAAAAAGACAAGGGAGACCGGAATGACCATTTCTGGCTCTTTAAGCCGTCGTCAACCAGTCGTACTCAACCCCGAAATTTATAACGCCTGGGTTCGATGAAAAAGGAATCCTTGGGGAAATTGACCAAACTGTATTTTGTTAAATTTTCGACGCTGGTTTCCCAGGCTCAGTTAAAACCGCAGTGCCTGTATGATTCCAATCTCTTGATCGTATTCGTTCCATGTACATCCGGAGGCCTCGTTCATGTGCGTTGTCAACCTGCGAGCTGCTGCATTGCCTCCTAGATTAATGTGACTATGACCTATCAGGGAAGGCTCTTTGGCCACCGTTTCGGTCTTGATTTTCCTCCGTCTTCTCCATCGTCAAATTAAGTCCTCGTCATAATCATTGCTGTTCCCAGTGATTTTCATGTTTTGCCGTTTCACCGAAAATTGCACCGGTTGGCCTTGGCTTGGAGAGTTAAACAAAAGACTGGTTGAAAAGTTAGCAACCGTGTGATCTTTGAACAAGGTAACTCTTGGGAAAGGGACGACTGGTGCTTTGAGGCTGTCCCGAACGTCTTCGTGTATTGAAAACAGGTGCTGTCCACGTTTTGGGTGGCCTTTATACATATTTTAATAGTTGGAAACACGCAATCCATGCAGATGTACATCTGCTACTGTTGTCCCCTACGTCTCATCCAGCCACAGCTTTTTGCTCCCACTTGAGTTTGCGTTTATTCGTATCTTTGCACGTAGAACTTGTTCTAGTTTAATCGCACTACTATTCTGCGACCCAAAGATGGATTCCGGTGCCTGTTTCCTTCTACTGATATTTGACCGCATAGCCCATCAATAAGGTGACGCCGCATGGATAGTTTTTTGTCTATGTCGGGACAATTTTTCTCTTCTCAGTGACTAAGCCACCTTTGCTTACCCACAGCATGCGTGTGAGCGGGTGAGCTATTTAATGAACTGCATTTATACCATAATGTTAGACACTAATCAGTAGCGTCGAAACAAGGTTTCATATTACGAACTTCACAAACTGACTCCATAATCAGTAGCGCACTTCCTTCTTCTTAACTGCACAGAAATCAGGCCAAAGTGGAGTTCCGTTTTGTCCGTCAGCACCTGCCCTTTGTCGTTCAGTCAACTTTGGCAACCCAGAATGCGGACTGAGAAGAGACACCACGACCGGACTGGTGTGTTCTGCCGACTTTGTATCGGTTTCTTTGGAGCCTCCATCCCCACACCAAACGACGGCGATGAGTCCCCCGTTGCTGTCAGTCGCTGACCGCAAAATGCCCGACACCATTTCTCATTCACACCAAACCTCATGTCTTTCACACTCCTGGTTCTGTGGCGGCGGCGGCGGCGGCGGCGGTGGCGGCGGTCTGAGCGGCGCTGCGGCATCGCCTTCAACGGTCGCAGATGTTCGCTTGCCCGTTTCCACCGATATCTTCGCGTCGGACATTGACAGACAGTCCTGCTCAGGCCGAGCGGAGCGCACCCTACGATCTTCGATCTACTCCTCCACACTCCTCCACTCACCTCCCTCTCCTGCCGGAAGTCTCGACTCTGGCTCGGCGAACACCGTCACCGGAGTAGCCCACGTAACCAAGGAGACGACGCGGTGGAACAAGAAGAATATGAAGGTAAGCAAGTTATAGCGCTGGATCGTTTAATTCCTACCCTTGAGACTCTCGAGTTATGAGATGAGGCGCCAGCACGACCGAACTGCGTTGACAAAAGACATCGCCAAGTAAGTCTGAATAGCCGGATAGTGTTGCCTCGACAAATTACGGTTGCCTACCCTCTCGTAGCTTCCGATTTTTTTACTCTGTTGCCACCTGCTGAACGAAGCTTGGATTGAAAATTAAACGGGACCATTACCAGCTGTTAACACGGGATATGGTCGAGTCTGGGCGGTACTGTACTAACACAGCACTCAAGTTGTGAACCATATGACCAACACTCCAAACCCGCTTTACATTACACTTTTACGTGTCTGCGTCTACGTCTTCCGGTTTGCCGATTCCTGTGTCTGCCGGGGCGAATTTTTAGGACTTAATTCACGAGATTGAGGAAGAATCACTACCCATGACTAGCTTTTAATTTGTTTAGCTGTAAGCTGTGCGGCCACATGTCATGTTTCACCCTAGAGGCTATGGAAACGGACTTTATACCTGATATTTCGATAAACTCAGAAGTACAACTCAGCGACCACCACGAGTCTGTTGACTAAGTTGAAACTATTGGCCCGTCCAGTAGCTTGGATGTGTTATACTCTCACAAATCTTCGAGGACCAACAGGCGTCTGCCAGCCTACCTTCCCAACCAATCATGCAAATGGGTTTGTTACTTCACTGCAAATCTTGGCGTCCCAGCTCGTTGTCTGGAGCGAGACATGAGTTCACGGAAGGGTGGCAGTTACGGGCATGCCTATAATAGGTCATCCTGCAGGGAAGGGGTGACTTTTGGCCACGTTGGGCTTTAGTGAGACAGACCTGGGCAGCATCCATATCACTCCTCTACTATACCCATCGTGCTCCCACCACGAGACTAGGTCGAGATAGCATAAGACCTCCGTCAAAGTTACCACGAATTAAACAGACCATCTCCCAGCCAAAGCGGGCTTCGCATGCACATGCCTTAATACTGACAAAACCTGACAGCAACTGCTTTCTCACTGTTTCGCCAGTCGACGTGGTTACCACCAAGGTGTGGCTACTTCATCCCAGGTATTCGTACACACACACACCACAGAGTTTCGCATCATTTGGGTTTGAGTATAGTAGCCGTCTTTTAGGGTTAGGCACCTTTCTTTCGATGGACGTGCCTACCTACCCACTGGTATGCAGTGCTGATTATCTATAAGGACCACTATCACGTCAAGGCAGCACCTATGCTACTTAGCCTCCTGCAGTCGTTCGTCTAGGTTTAATTGGAATGAAAGACAGCTTTAGCAAAAGTCCATGGGATTGCTAGCACTCCTACGATCAGAATTTGTTGAGATTACCAGACCAGTCTCTGCTATCTGTATGCAACAATAACTTCAGTGTATTTTTGAGACGTCCAATAGACCGGAATTTCAACACGTGCTGCCTCTTAGTTTATGCGTTTGTAACTGAAGGCTCAACTGTAACCCTTGTATGCAGTCTTTCGCATTAGCAAGGTGTCACGAACGTACGGCAGTTAATTCGTCGCAAAAGGCGAGGATCACTGATGCCTTCGGAGGCAACGCTGCGACCTGCTCACGAGTTGGCTTGTGGTGGAGAAGAAGAACCGTTCGAATACTACACCCCACTCTGCCGCCCATTGCCTGCTATGCGCCAGCTGGAATCTCTGGACGGGACGACTGCAGATGGTCTCCAGCTCGACGGTTGACGTGACTTAAAACCCTCGTTCATTGTATGTCTCCCCATACGCAAACGATAGGTAATCCGTCCACCGTGACGACGATGGCCGTCTTCACCAGACAACGCCCGGTTTTGGGTAATGGGTGGTCTAGTTTTGTGTGAGGAGTTAAGATGACTACCGAGGTTGCTTTCGCGTTTTTTCATGGAAATATATAAATTGTTTTATTTAGCACCTACGGGGCACTACCATGGTAGTTAAAAGTACATTTTGAAGTGAATTTCAGAACGAGTAGGCAAATACTGTACAGTGCTCGGTTCATGCTTGTAAAAATAAACAGGCAGTTTGATATGAAAAGCGGCTAGCGAACAGTGCAAAAAGTTCTTTAATTTTTTTGAGAAAGGCAAACTGAGTGTAATTTGATCACTTTCTAAGGAGAAAAAAACCGGTGATCATGGAAAGGTAAATATACGGGTCGGACAGGACCGTCCTGCATGTGGGAGTTTATGAGAGTTCGAAACGGTAATCGTTAAGGTAGAATTCGTAAACCGGATGAGGCTGTTCTCTGCGTTGACAACAGAAGCAACCGTCAAGGCGGCGAGGCGAGAGAAACCTAAACGCGATCACTCAGTCTGCTTAGAGTCCAGCCGAGGAGGGGACATTAAGGCCATGTTACTGCGGTATGCGGAAAGGACACAATTTTTAATTCAATATATGCCCTACTTCAAATGGCCCATAAACCCTCACTTCCTCCGAGTCTACGCGACGGCCGGCTTTGCGCGATAGGCTGTGCAAATTACTCTATCTCGAACTCTCTTGTCTACGTCTAACTACGTAGTTTTGACCGTTTCCGTCATATAATGCACTTTAAACGAGGCTCATGGTTGCTACCGGAATGACCTGTCGTACGTTAACTTTGTGCGAATTTTCGACTCCAAGGACGTCTGTTTTTCGCCAAACCCTCGTCCTTCAGTCCCTTCCCCTTCTGTTTTTCTCTGCTCCCTGCAGCTGTCTCTGTTCGGTGGTCGTCACCACATCTCAGACACCCCTAGTGTCCCCACGGGTACGCGCACTGTCTCCGTGCCCTCCACACCCGTTCGCGAGACCGTCCTGCAGGCGACGTCAGTGACAGTAGCATCTTCAGTGATCCACCTTGGCTGCGGAGACGATACTTGTGCGCGGAGCAAGTCTCTTAAGGCCACCACTCTCATAAAGGCTGCCACCTCTCCTTCAAACAGCATTTGCTCGCAACAACGGGAAACTCAGCCTTTTAACTCCCCTTCCTAAGTAAGGTTATTTCTATCTTCTGCGTTAAACCTGCCTGCTTAGCCTTCAGACCGCGTCCCTCTTTGTTCACCATGTCTCCCGAATGCCTAGACTTTGCGGTTACACTGCACGCACAGGTCAGGTTTTTCACCGTTGAAAGCGAAAATTAGTCAAGATGTGATCAGCATATGACCTGGTCCGTCCAGTTGATGCGGCATGAACCCTCCGTCCCATTCAGTCAGTGCTCTTAAGCTATTTAGGCATACTGATAGTCCTCAAATACCAAGTGGGAATGGAGAATTAGTGTGATTTCATCAGTACTGCAGAGTTTGCCGCATCGCATTTCACACAACTCAATCTGAGTGATCTACTAATTACGTGGTTATCCTCTGCTGGCTAATTCGTGATTGCCTATAAACCGTCTGACACCTGAGCACCCTCTTGAGGTGTCATTTAGCCTCAACGCGGTACATAGCCTCGTAACGACACAGGTAAGGTGAGTACAAAAGCGTCTTCGATGCCTGCGTAGGCATGATATACAATTAAAACCGACGTCAGTTTTTTACTGCTATTCATCACAGTGTTTCCTTATTTTCTGACGATCTGTCCAAGCGTTCAAATTTCTTCTTGAATGACATTTGGAGCCCCTGTAACCCTGTGTCGGACGATAGCCGTTTCGGATGACGTTTTAACAATAACCGATAAGTGTTGCCGACAAAGAAAACATATCTGCTGTACCCACCGACTAGTTACGGGCATCTGAGACACGGGTTATCTCGTTATCAAACACTTTCTAGTCACACGGCCTAGTCTCTGAATCTCTGGCCCACACCCTGTTTGTCGCGGCTGAAAGGGCTCAAAGTCGCATAGTTGCTGACTTTGTCAATCTATCCTGATTTCAAAGGGGGAAAAATAGTTCCGACTTGCTTTGGATTTGCGGGTCTAGGGCGCTGGTATGAGATCGCATAGCGACGGACAATAGCCTATCAACAATTGTGAATGGCAAACAAAGGGGGAACGATAATGGCCTTTTTTGTTCTGTATTTGCGGTCACTAGTCAGTCACTCCCGAAGCCCATGCTCGCAATTGCCGGCAGTAATATCAACATAATTGCTCAAGAGGTGAATACTGGCCAAAAAGACGCCGACCTGCCACTCTTCCCACCACCGTTTTCGTTACATCTACAAGAAGCTAAATATGAACTTAAAAGTGAATTACGCGGAAAAGCATTTTAACATTACTGACAAAGACAAGGGAGACTGGAATGTCCATTTCTGGCTTATTAGCCGTCGTCAACCAATCATACTCAACCCCGAGGTGTGGAACACCTGGGGCTCCAACTTACGACCTGTTGGCTAGAAGCCCAACGCTGACGACGACTAATGAGTCAGAAATGACAATTTAAGGCCTCCCCTGTCTTTGTTGATAATGTTATTCTGCCTACATTACGCAAGGCTGTGCGGCTACTGGTTGGACTTGGGAGAGACCCCCAAGACACAACGGGACGAGTGAGTTCCGTAACACGATCGATGAGTGCTTTTCCACCAAAAGCATTGTGCTGAATCTGGCGATGTCCCTTGCATATTTAACACTGGCCCAAGTCTATTCTAACCGGGGAACCGCTTACGCTCAACCTAGTTAGTACCGCTAAAATGTTTACTACGTCGCTGCTTCGTCCACCACTGGCAACCCGGCTTGTTCTGATGAATTATCCTTCACATCATTGGCTCAATTCAGGCCAACGTTTAGTCCAAGTTATTGACCATGCATGAAGACCGGTTTTGTACTCGCAATCATTATGAAACCTTTGTGATAAAGAACTGCAGTATGCATACTGCCCTCTTTTCTAACGGTTAGGCTTCTGATCTGCACTTCATCATAGTCGCCACCACTTTTGATAGTACGACTATTGGAACCGTCGGGGTCCACCATTGCCTCAGGCGGTGAGCGAAGTCTTTAGTCTGTTCCGGGTTTCGAAGATGGACTGAGTTATCTTGTCAGTTTCGTACCACAGCGGATAGCGGCTCATGATAGGTAAGCGCGCGTCAGATTTATTGTCACGAAGAGCTTAACAACGTCGGCTTTACTCGCCCCTCTTCCATGGACTAATGGTCTGTTCAAACCGTTTGCCGAATTGCGATGGGATCGAGCGCACATTGATTATCACAACATAAAGACCCCTGTCTGTGCATACTGCACGCGCTGGCATTTCACTCTGCCCAACGCAGCCAAGCCTCATCAAAAGGCTCAGCCCCTACGTAATTGAGATACGCCAGTTGTCACTTAGCGCGTTTTGATCGTCACAACGACGCTAGCAAGTTGTGTTGCATGGTTATTGAGTGATATGCAGTGATTTACTGGTGGTTGATGTGCCTATGCGTGAAGCCATATAGGCCTATATATGGTCCGAGCGTGCCTGTATAACATAGCCAGTACGAGATGTCTGTATGCGTCTTCTGTCAGCACCCAGTAGCAGCAGTGGCGGTAAAATTGTCGTCTGGGCGGTGGCTCGTCAGTCATCCTTACGACGCCCTAGTTCCACCTGCTTCAACATGGCGCAGATGCTGAACACGTTCGTCTCTCCATGTTTCGTCCTGACTATTCTCCTGCACCAACTGGGATAACAGTGGTTTAGATTTCCTGTCCAGCAGTTGAAAGGACTGGGTTCTGGGACCTGACTTAAACATTTGGGATGATTGTAATGACTTCTTCCTTTTCGCTGTATATTGTGAACTACCATTGACCACCATGTTTTTCAAGAATGACTACCAAACGACCAGTTCGCCTCACTCAGACAAACCAGACAGTCGTACACCATCGCCTTCAGAAATGCACCTGTTATAAACGGAACATTTCCGAACAGTGTTTTGCGACGCGTGCTGGTATACGACAATGGATCAAGGGAACTGTTTCCACTACCTTCTGCTTCAAAGTTAACTACCCTTCACCTGAAAACCAGAAATGTCCTGATTTACTGCCAATCGTGGTTTTGAACCGATTCCTTCGTTGTCACCAGTCAGATGATGGCGTTGAGTTTAGGGCATCAACATTCATCTTTGAGGCCCGGTGGATCCGGAATATTAGCTTCCGTTAGTACACACAAACGAACTAATTAGATTTGGCAGTAGAGACATTCTGAGGTTCATGGGTTTGTGATGGTGGCTCTTTTTGCGAAGATCTTACATGTTTCTGTCCTGACTGGCTGGATACCGGGGACTGAATTCTAGACCAAAACGCTGAATACGATAACGATCCTCCTTTTTGCCGGGTCGATTTATCCCAGTAAATAAGAATGGTCAGCAAGAAGGGGAGCAGGCGAGCAAATAACAGAAGCGGGACTTGAACTTGGACGAAGGTAGAATGAACCAACCCCTGTGGAAAAACTCTGGGGAGGGCAAGGAGGGACTAGATAACGTCGTTCCCTCCACCATCGGCGACGTAGTCTATCGGCGTGTGCGCATACATATTTGTTACGGAGTTTATAACATTTCCCGGCCACTTACTTTTTACTTCGGATAGATGCATGTTGCTTCTATCGAAAACACTCACAGACTCTATCACTCAGTCGCACAACCTGCGAAGTTTGATTGAGAGTATTTTTTGATGACATCAGAAAAACCATCGTGTTCGTAGCGGAGGTGACGAATCGATTGTAATGATGTCTGGTTGTTCGTTTTGTGTTATTAGCAATCACACGACCCCTTGAAGATGTTTGGTGAAAAGTTAGGACTACAATTTGTCGGCAAATCTTGCTTTACGCGGGGTAAGGCTGTTCCAGATATTCGCAATTGAGCCAACGCACCAGTGCATTAACTAACCTGGGTTTGTAATCCATACTACGCTATCTGGCCTGCTTAATTAAGTGCTAATCAAAATTCTGAACTGTCTTCGATTAGAAGGGATTACTTAGGTGGGGTGTTAATATTATCGTGCAATATAATCCCAAGATATGTCAGTCACGCTAGGGTGCTGACATTCGAATGAGCTTCCCAGCCGCCTGCAAAGACCGTACTCAGCTGTATTTTCTAGAAAACATGCACAAGGATATTCGCCCCTGTACTTATTTGGTAGCAAATCTCGTTTTTTTTTCAAATTTTATGACTGATGAAACGGTATCTTTCGGTTTTCAAGGAGCTTGCTCAATCCCCGAATAATTTCGAACTCTAACCTCACTTGTACTGGCGCATAGGGCCTCCAAACTAAAGACTTTATACTTTCCGTATAAGAAAAATTACGCATTTCTCTAGGCTACTCAGAAGATGCCATATAGGGATGATGTTGTCATAAAAATAACAGGTACGGTGCCGCACGAACGGACACTTCGCGATCTTAAAAATCTCGTAATTGCAAGCTGTTTTAAAGCCCAAACATGCCTTTCCCCACTTATAAAATTTATGACGTGATTTACTACGAAGTGGGTATGAGAAGTGACCTTTTTGTGTGTTTTGTACAAAATACATATGGATTTATATGGAAATAGAGAAACAATGGGAATAAATCATACTGCTCCGCTAGTCATTTTATGCCGAACGTGGTTTTTTTGCAGGCGTTCATAAAGGGCTCATTCAAAAGCCGGCATCCTGACGTGGTTGACATAACTGAGGATTATGCCGCAAGATGACCAATATTGCCACTCCACCTAATTAATCCTTACTAATCGAAATCGCATTTCCGAATTTGAGTTTACGTGATGACTCAGCTGCTGTGAGTACCCTTACAGCCCCACTTCACTTAATTTTTCATATTTCAAGGCAATTTTGAAATTCAATAACTGTTACGCGTTTGATAGGCTCATTTAGTAAAAAAAAACTCAGCACGTTGGATTTTGCTCTTGATTTTTTCAATTTTAGGAGTAATAGACTACCTTCTGGTAACGACATACGGAATTCTTTTTTTAGTTCAGCGCCTTCTGAATGTCCCTTCGAAAGAAATTATGCTTTAGAAAACCAACTCACTAATCCGGGCATCAAGTAACAGATCCGACAAATTGGTCGATAACGCCGATTTTTTCTTGTCCTTTGTGGTTACCAGCCGTTATCAGACATCTGATGAATTTAAAAAGGTTTTTAATCTGACTGGCACCACATCTGCCTGCCTGGCCTGGCTCGAGTCCCTGAATCGGATTCGGATGTCCCGGCAAGATCTGTATCCTTCCAAATCTATGAGTAACGCCATATCTCAACATTTCAGGTGCTTTAGTCGAAGCCCCCGGCCGACCTTGCGTAAGCAGGTCGCCAATGCGTACCGGGACCTCTCTTACCATCCGGCAGAAGTTTCAGAGAGAGTTCGATTGTCCATCACCGTTTGGGAGTGACATCTTAGATCAGTCTGTTCCACGATGGTCTGGTGTCCCCTAGTTATTAACCTATTATGACTGTTAAACGAGTCAGTTTATCACGTTACATGTCCTGTTAACTGGACTGCACAATTTGCTGCATAACCATCCTATAATATTGGGCCCTGTTACCGTGCAACGGATAAAAACGCGCTTCGTGCGGTCGTCATCGTTCTTGCCGTACTGCAGCCGATTACCTATGATTGTTTTTTTCCTTTTAGTCCCTACCTTCCACCAACAGACCCATCGCAAATGCCTCAAGGGATCCACTCTATCGCCGTGTGTGCGTACACGAGCACAAGCTGGTGGAACACTACATTCCGCGTTGATCAGACCCCTGACCGCCTCACCTCGGGGCCGATTGACCTCATAAAAGATGTACACAAATAGTGGGGCAGTAGCGCCACCCTGCGGTACCGTCGTTGGACGGATGCCAAAGCAGGCACACAGTGCTCTGCAATTCCCGTGCCAGTGCGCTCAGGATATCCCATTCCTCCTGTCCAGTGTTTCCCGCATCGTGCAACACAGGAACACCTCTCTGATGTCCACCGTTCCGTCCTGTGACGAAATGTTGACCTGGCCTACCCCTATGGCAAATGTTTCGCTCCCAGCTCTACATGTTGGTAACGCTCGCTTGTCTGCCCAGACTGTTAATTTCTGAATTCGTCCTGCAGAACGTGCAATTTTTGTCGCCACCGTCCTTGCTGCGCGTACTAGCACCCACACCCCCACCTCACGTCTGCCTCCCCCCCATCTGAGAGACCCCCCGTACCGCCCTACTCCCCCCCTTCATACACAACCCGCCGCTCACGCGCCCGAGACAATAGAGCGTGTTTGCGCGATCTCTTCACGCATAATTTAAAATTTTTTTGATTTCCATACGCCACCCTCTATTTTGCCTTGTCCACGCGTGGGCGCCCACGCTTCGCATCACGCACAAAACTTGTCAATGCCCGACATCCTCCTGACCCGTTGACAGGTGAACAATCTCACAGCGAGGCGACTGTTGACCTCTCCCTGAGAAGAGACTCCTTTAGATCGCGTTCTCTCAGTTACCAACCTGCCCCTTTACCTGCTTTAACGCTGAGTTGACAATGCTTCACTCATGGTGAAGTTGACTCTCTTCCCCCTCTCCCAACCTACCACACACAGAACCTGAAAAGTTATATTTTGTCTAATTGATAAAACTAACCTATTTGCTTCGACTTAGTCACCAGTTGGTCGGCAAGGGACAGAGCCGTTTGTGCGTACTTTTAGAGAGGTCACTCTACGCGCTGATCAGACTGCTATTGTTCCATTCAGGAGATTAGTTAATAACATTACTTGCGCATAATTTACATTGTTCGATGTGGGGGAGGGGGGGGGAAGGGGATCTATCCCCAACCGTCCTTTCGCCTCGTGTCTTCGGTTGGCGTTGACGTCAGTGTCAGCACCCCGTTTTGCCTAAAAGCCACTTGGGTAGCGTTCATCCCGGCATAATATCAATTTGAAACTGCATACTGAGGCTTCGTAAGGTCAGGATAAGGGTAGATTTACCCCTCAATGTCCTCTTCGCCGATACCTTACTATTTGTACTTGATAGAACTGCGATGTTTCCCTGCCTAGCTAACTTCAACGACGACGCCGGTAGTGTCTGTCAACCCACTACCGGATTTGGTGGGCGTGGGCCGCTATGCCAGCGGTGGGGATCGGGTGCAGTGTGTCGCGGACCGTGTCGAGTTACTTTCTTCCGTTATGGTGGGGACGTTTGGTTTAAGACGAGAACTCTTTCAAACTGCTTAAGGTGTCCTCTTGGCTAGCTCCGGATCTGACTATCATCGCAGCGAGTGCAGGCTAATTTATTTAAGACGAAGGCTTGCACGTCATGAGAAGAATCATTCTCACATGACGGTGGCCGAGAGTCTCCCAGTTTTTATTTTCGCGCGCAATCGTAAGAGGGCAGACTGAGAAGATCTCCGCATACAAAGGTCCTCGCGATCATTGAGGTCTCGCGTTGGGTCCGATAACACCCTCAAAGGCAGCATCAAACTGAGCGACGAGGAATTTTAACTCGGCTCAGTGAGGGATCTCTCAAGTTGTCAGTGCTAACCGTAACTGTCTATTTCCTGGTTTCGGAGGCTGTTTCGATGAAGATGGCCTGTTATACGTCTGGAGGATTCAGTGTCGCCAAAGGGTTGTGCAAGGGAATAACGGACCCAGCCTCTTCAAGGTGTTGAGCTATAGTGGCTGGCCTATCTCATGGGATAGTAAGCTGAATTCCGGAATGTACTTTCGATTGGAAACGATTAATTACATAAGGTTGTGCCACAGTCCCAGTATGTTTTATTTACGTCAAGATGCTGGATTCTGAGCCTGCCTTCGGTCGCCTCCAGAACCACATTATGAAAAGTATCCAGCTATGTAGTATGGATTTTACCCGTTGATTTTCGGCGTCCTTATACGTTTAAATATATTTTGCGGAAGGTCTTCATGAAGCGATCCTCATTATAATTCATTATACCCATTCGGTACCAAATTACGTCTTCTTCAAATGCTGTAGCTGGAGAAAGTGTATTCCGATTTTAAGGAAATTTTCAATTCCCGAATAATTTTGAACCCGGCTTGGCGTTGTACTTGCGCCCAGGGTTTCCAAACCACATGCTCCGTTAAGGAAACCAGTGATAAGGCTCACAGCTTTACAACGGATGTGGGTCGTGTTGCATGCGTCATATGCAGCATTAACAAAAAATAAACGCGATGTTGTAGGAGTGGGCATTTCATGGACGGACGTACGCGTCCTCTAACTTGCTGTTTATACAACGGCTGTTCCAGTCAGACCAACTTAGACATTCTGCTTATGTATGCCACATCAAGCTACATCTATGAGTTTACATATACAGTGGGCGGGCTGACTCATGAAATGGCAACCGAAATTGCAAAATGCGTTTTCGTTTCGAAATGATAAATTAAGTAGGGTTTTAGAAATAATCATCATGCAGCGTAATTCTCTAATAATTAAGTTACCTCAGGATGTCGGATTTCGAACGAACTTCTTTGCTGGTGCATGCAAAAACGATACTCTGTAAAAAATGACTACTTATGTAGCATGCATTTTTCACAATGATTTTCGATGACCTTAAAAATTCAATTATATTTCATGGAAAACATGCATAAAAATATTTATTCTTATACTTATTCGGTAGAAAATTACGTCTTCTTCCAACGTTTTACTCGAAGAAAGGGTATAATTCGGTTTTCAAAAACTTTTCCAATCTCCGGATAATTTTGAACCCTGCCTGCCGTTAAACTTACATTTGGGGTTTCCGAACTGGAAGCCATATATTTTCAGCTTAAGGAAAACCATACGTTTCTCAACGGTATTAAGGGGAGATTATATGGGATTCATTACATTTTTCAGTGTATTTAAGTCATATTGCTAACTTAACAACCACACCGGTAAATGCAGAGACATGGCGTCTTATAAAAGGCCGTTTCACGGTATTAAAAATCTCACAATTTGAAACTGTCTAAAACCGAATTACACCCTTCCTACGAGTAAAAAATTGGAAGAAGACGTCATTTTCTACAGAATGATCAAGTGAACAAATATTTTTATGTATGCTTTCCATGAAAGATAATTAAACGTTTAAGGGCATCGATAATCAATGAGAAAAGTGCACGCTACCTTAGTAGTTGTTTTTGCAGAGTAGTTCATTCGGAAGCCGGCATCCTGAGGTAACTGAATTATTATAGTATTATGCTGCACGATGGTTACTTTTACAGTCCAGATTAGTTAATCTTTTCGAAACGAAAACGCATTTCGGGATTTCTGTTGACACGCCATGAGTTAGCCCACCTACTGTGGTTGCGGATGCAAATACATAGGCCGCACGCAAAGGCAGTTGGCAACTCGGTCGGCTGAATATGCGCCGAAATGGCTGCTAAGGTTTGCAAACAAAGTATCCAGAAGTTTACTTACGAAACATTTAATGGCCACTGGCCATACGGTGGACTCAACGACTACATTTAAGGTCCTCCTTCGTTCAACGACTGGATGTCTTCTGTGCTTTGCAGACGCCTCTGCAATACGAGGGGGGGAAACCAGAGCCCTGTGAA